TGTTTCTGGAATATTATGTTTTTGTTGCTGCAAGCGCTTTTTATGCAGTTTTTGCAAAGCTATATGTGGAAGGAAACTGTGACCGAGGACAAGCTGATGTCATAAGATGTAAGTACAACTCCTCAGGTTTCATATGCAAAAAAAATTATTGCGCTAGCTCACGTGGTTGCAGAGCTACCGGGAGTTTAAAGTAGTTACGCAAAACAGAGCGTGCCCGCTCCAACTGGTTTTAAAGGGTTAATAAGCAATCATTTAAATCAAAGCTGGATGTAATCAAGTCTTCATAGAGCAGCTAGTCCCAAATGACTGCTACAGTCCACTTTCACCAAAAATTATTTTTTATTTCCAGAATTATTTCTATCATTATGTTTTCATTTATTAATTTGATGATTAAATTTTTTGGGAAGCAGCGTGTGACACCTATAAATGTATAATCACATACATCATGTTGAAACAGGATTTCTACATGATCTAGTTCTCACTCGTTTTGTTTCTATACTGTACATATAGCCTGGTATATATTTATTTGGGAGATGGTGGAATACGTTTGTTTGTCACTGTCAGACGTTGTGTATTGTTCTATGTGTTCAGCGATAAAGAGAGTTTACAAAGTGAATAATAAGCAGGTTAATCAGTGTTAGTGAATCTGCTCAGATATAATATTGAAGCTGCAGAGCAGGAGGATTTAGTTGTAAGTTACACTGTATGTAAAAGGGACCAATAAAAGGTCATTATTGTGTAAATTTATACCTAAACAAACAAGGTAACCAGGTGGGTTTAAAGATCTTAACCTGAGTTAACGTTGTGTTTTTATGTGACGACAACATGACAATTTGTACATGGACAGAAAAAGATGGTGAAATTCTGTTTAATAAATAGATGAGGAAGAGTTTGCAGACTGAACACAACTTAGGTCTCCTGCTCGTGTTTTTCTGTATAAAACAGGCCCATCTGAAGGCCTGCAACAGCTACAACGAGCTCTCATGTTCCCTGTTTCTCATGAAAACACTGCAAAATGTCAACATTTGGGACTTATAGAAAATCCCATCCTAATTTATTTAAGATCCTTCTCATTAGACTCAGTCTAACTCTGTAAACACCCTCATTACTAACACAACCCACATACTCATAAAAAACCACTTGTCGCGAAATCAATGTAGAGCAGTGTCACAAACCACGGAGGCCCCAGAAAAGTGCAATCAAACGGTGAGTTTATTAACAGCCAGGAGAAAACATCAGCATACGTCTTCTGACAAAAATACATGTTGAGAACACTTATAAAGCAGTGAGGTACACGCCCCCCCATGGCGTAAACATAGGTTAAAGACATCAGTTACAGTAAATGGTACATCTTAGATGGCTATAAACAGACATAGAACTTCTCTTTTCTATAACACCTTCCAAACAAGGTAGTAACTTCAAGCCTTCAAGGTCTCTGAGGGCTGGTTGTCGACTCATTTGTTACCAAGTAGACTAAAATGCAGTTGGAAGCTAAATGAGTTAAGGCCTCAGGCCTGACACATTCCTAGATTATATGTGTATTGTAAGCATGCATGCAATCATCCTTCTATGTTCTAGTTTGTTAGTTAGTTTATAGTTTACACCATGGATCACCTGGACAGTCACACCAGTGAAGCTTAAAACCTTTAATGAACCGAACATCAACTCGAAATAAGCACAAATATGCAATGTGTACGAAATACTCCTGGCCGTACCTGTAATAAAAGTTAACATAATAAAAGGATCCTTAAATGAACATCTTCAATAAACAACTTTAATGCAATATCAATACTGTGAGAAATATTATTAAATGGCATAATGCTGTAAATAATGTTATTAATGCAATTATAATGATGCAGGTCATATGGCAGCAATAAAAGAATTTCTGTATCTCCACACACTCTTGCAGAAAAGGTATGAAAAACATTCTGTGCTTAGGAAACAGCAGAAACGAACAGGGTCTGTGTGTGTTAACTATAAAGTTTGGAAATAAAGGGAGAGTAACAAACAGTTTTTCCTGTCTTCCTTATCTGTGTGTTATCTTTAATTTCAAGGGAGTAGCATGTTTAAATGCACATGTGTCAAACGCTACTAAAAACACAACCCCCGCGGCGTAAGTAATAAATACTTCTCACTGCAGTCGGGGCAGATGTGGAAACAGACACCACAAATAATTATTAAAAAAACAAGTTAGTCTGCTCCCACACTTATCTGTATTTATGTTTTGGTGCACCATCAACCCTTGG